CTTTATTTCCACATCACAGAAAGAAAAAAGTTGAACATTATAGTGATAAAGTGAAATCGCATGAGACAAATTATGTCTGTGGGCATGTGCAGTAAGGAAAAAATTAAGCCATTAAGCCATTCATTACTTCCATTAGGAGCTGAAAGCACTGTGTGTGGAACTGCAAAATGCCAAAGTCTTTTTTCCCAACCAAGTGAAACTTGACAGCTTTATCATTCAGGAAAGCAAGTCTTGGACAAAAACCTATGTGCAATTCAGAACACAGGGCAGCACTGCCACATAATTATTATTTTTGCAATCATTAAAGAAGTAAATTCACACTTCAAACTGCTAAACTGTCAACTTAAGTCGCAAAGATATTAACACCTATATGCATAGGCATTACAAGAACATTTGGAAATTCAGCTAAAAACCAATACCTATTCGGAGAACACTGGATATCATTAGCAACATACATTGGCTGCAAAACATCAACAGTTTAGGGAGAAGCAAGGTAGCCAGCAGGCCACAGATGGTGAAGCAGCCTGGTCTATAGTGATGAGTTACCACTTACCTGTTTTTTTTAATGCCATTTTGCACAAACAGAGGAGTGACTGCCACAGATCCTTTCCTTTTCCTCCTCCTCCTCCCCACATGGACTTCTGTGCACAGTGCAGATCCGAACAGGCACACTGACTTCCAGGAATATAAGACCAGCCCTGACGGATCGGACCAAAGGCCCCCCATCTCGTTCCCACCCTAACTCTCTCTCTCTCCCCACACACAGCGGCCAAGCAGATGCCCTCAGGAAGCCCAGAAATAGAAGGTGGTGGTGAGGAGGAGGAAGAAGAGGAAGGCAAAAGAAACGAGCGGTCAGCACATGAATCCGGAGAGGAAAAGGTGCGACTTGGAAGGGAAAAAAATACAGAAGAAATTCAAGTGTGAAGAGCGGGAAAGGGGCGCCGAGAGGGAGAGGGGCGAGACTTCCAGGGGGCTCCCGAGCAACCCCTTCCCCTATCTATATATATACTGTATACTGTATATATAAGGGGGAGGAGAGCTTGTCAGCGCCGCGCCCTCCCTCCGCCCACCGGCGCCGCTGAGCAGCCCACAGCCACCCCCTCCGAGCAGCCGAGGCTTTTCCCTTCTCGGACCCTACACGGCTGGCCGACCGTCCCGCTAGGCCCCAGCCTCCTAAACGCAGGCCCGGCGAAGGCCGCCTCCTCCTCCTCCTCAGCCCTCTCCCTCCTCGCAGCCCCGCCGCCGAGCTCGTGAGGCGAGCGAGCGGCGGGAGCCCCTCCTTTCCCCCTCTGCCTTTTCCTCCCCTCACCTGGTGGTTTTTCTGGGCTGGGGCTCCCGGGCCGGCTCGTGTTGGCGGGCGGGCTTTCGGGCGGCTCAGTCCATTGGTAGCTCCCAGGAAAGGGGGGTCCAGGGTAAGGGGGGGAAGCGAGCGAGTCGCGGCGGCGGCAGACACAGGGCAAACACTAAAGAGAATGAGCGGGGCCAGGTCCGGCCGGGGAGGAAGTGACGCCAGCACGCAGGGAAGGAGGGAGGGTCCTTTGCGGCTATTTATAGCGCCGCCCAGCTGAAGAACCCATGCGGGGCCCTGGGCTGAATTTCTTAAGGCCTGGGCTCGCCCCTCACACACGTTTCCCTCTCTCGGAGAACTACGACTTCCAGCATGCTCTCCGGCAGTCATAGGGTGATAAGCGTTTGGCTGTGTTCTCCGCGCCTGTGGCTTTTCACCTCAGGAGGAAAAATAGATAAAGACTACGCTTCCCGTCATGCTCTATTCCCGCCCGGAAATAGCAGCTCTCTCACGCTCTCTGTGGTCCACGTCTTCTGCCACGCGCCTCTCCGCTTCCTACAGTTTCCAGTGTGCATTGCTCCCTCACCGGCCGGAGGAGGGGCGGGGCTAGCCCTGCACGCGCTCCATGCGGAGAGAGATTGTTGTAGGCGGGAACTGCAGCGGTTGCTACTGCGGCTGACGGGCTGTCGAGCATATAGCGGTGAAGCCTCTGAAACCTGGGGGGTTTGGCTGGCTGGAAAGACGGGCTTCGTTGGTGGAGGGAGAGGTTCCTTGCAAAAGGCTGATCGGGTAACTTAAGAGTTTCCGCTTTGGCAGGCCAAAATGTATTCTCGTGCAGCCACAAGTAAGTCCCGTTGAGAAGCGCCGGGCTTATTTTACTAATACTTGTACCTAAGATTGCAGCCTGAACTTAACTTTAAAAAGGTGGATGGAATCAGCCAGGAACCGGCCGTGCTTTGAACTTCAGAAAAGAAAGGCAAAAAAATCGTTGTTCTCATCATTTATCAAGTCGCTTCTAATTTACGTTTTGAATCGGTGACACCCCCCCCCGCCAAAAAAAATCCTTCATTAAGACCCTTGGTCAGGGCTTGCAAATTGACTACCGTAGTTTGGTTTGAGTCATCTCACCTCACAGTTTTTTTTCCTTGCCTTCTGTGATTCTGGTTCTTCAAGTTTTGGTGGCGGTTCCCTCATTTTGGCGGGAATAAGAGGCGATTTTAAAAAAATTCAACGGCGTCTACTTTATTAACTCCAATATCCAAATTAACCAAATCAAATGAGTCCAAGCAACTTAGTTCCGGCAACATTTTGTAACTTAAAACTTTAGCCCCGGGAGTCAACACTTCATTCCTCACATCGGGGCTGGACCAAACCACTCTCGATCCCTTATTCTTCTCAGTGGTGTTACTCCTGACCCCACAAACTGCCCCACAGCAGGGGAGTCTCGCCCAGTCCCCTTCTACTGTAGAGGTGGAACATTGTAAGAGGGACTGGGACGGATCGCTCTCTTTCCCCACGTTGGTTGTGGCTCCTGTCTTCGCCACTTGGGGTGTCTTCGGGTCTGGCAGCAATTCCCCCTCCTGTCTTTAGACTGGGGAAATCTTTCAGGAGATTACCAACCTTATCCGAGGTTTCTTCTTCCCTCTCGGTCTGTATGGCACAATCCCTCATCTCTCCCCTCATTTCATCAATGTGGAGAGGGGGGATCTGCTGTTTGGGTAACAGCCTATCCTCTATATGATTTTACCCCAGGCTTCATTCTCTGGAGAGGACACTCCTCCATTCAGAGCATGTTACCATAGTCTTTCGAGACTGAAGGATGCCTTGCCTGCTCCTCAGCAGCTCCGTTTGAATACTGAATTCCTGCATACCATCTCCCTCTTTTATTGCCTCCTCCCATATTATCAAATCACGCTCCTCCCCTTGATCTTCCTTTGATCTCCGTTTGCCTTTTAAAGCTCTTCCCGATCTCCCTTTTCACTCCTGTAAAAGTGTCTTACAATGTTTGGAAGCCGTTTTAAATGGTTGCAATGGTTAGCCCACCTCCTGAAACCTATGCAAACTGATTTTGGTGTTGTTCTGACACTTCGTTAATTTATGGTAATTTTTTGTTTTCCCCCCTCATTGAACTCCATGCATTTCAATGAGGGGGAAAAACAAAAAATTACCATAAATTAACGAAGTGTCAGAACAACACCAAAATCAGTTTGCATAGGTTTCAGGAGGTGGGCTAACCATTGCAACCATTTAAAACGGCTTCCAAACATTGTAAGACACTTTTACAGGAATGAAAAAGAGACATCGTTGTGTGAAAATCCCCCATAGGAAACATCGCTGTGTGAGGCGGCAAATTTAACAGAAAAAGGCATCGTTGTGTGAATTCATCGTTGTGCGAGGCACCACTGTATTCTGGTTAACATACTTTTAAAAAGCAAACAGCAAGTATATACAATATTTCAACGAATGCATAATGATTGTCAACAACACAAAAAGAACAGCCAGTAATATCTTATCAAGCATTTACTTTAGTCCTGTCCCGATATTTTAAGCATGTAAAACCTATGTGAGCACCAGTATATTATCTCTGCCCCACCTAGTTTTTCTTACCTGTGCACACAAAATAGGTAATTGTGTCTGTTAAGGCTCTCTTCACAAATGGGAGACGTCTCTGCTGGGAAAATATTAGGTAAGAGATATCTAATGTGAACCAACTTATTTGTAAATGTGCTTATGTTTTGATAACAATATTTATTGGAATAGTTCGTTTTTAAGTGACTGAATGAGAATTATCTTAGAAAATAAGTTTACAATAGAGAACTTGTTTGCTTTCTGCTTTTGAATCACTGAGCTTCACCTATGTCTAACTAGATGTTATTTTAATAGAACTAAAGTTTCTTTAGAAGTATTTACACATATAAACTAGAGAAATATGTAAAATAAGGCTGTGATTTTGAAGTTCTGTATTCATGTAATTTTTACATATATTCCAAGCCTACTTTATAATTTTGGCTTTTAGTACTCGGTTGCTTGTTAAATAAATCTTTTAAAGATTTTCCCCCATGGAAACTGACAGTGTTTGAGTTGCTGTTTTTGTTTACCTTTTTAGTGTGTATATACTTAATGTTTTTAGCTTCAAATGTTGCCTTTTAATGATGGAAGCTGCCCTGGGTGGTTTTAAAAAGGATGTTGGGGTAAAAGTATTTCTGAAAAACACAGAACATAATTGATCCTAATAACTCTTTAAAAACACTTGTGTTTTATTTTTCTTCCAGAGAAAATCCATCATGTGCTTTGTGGCTTGATATTAAGCCGCACCGGTAAATATAGTCAAATGTGTAGTTTTTACAAAATGTTAACATGGCCCTATGCAACTGTTTAACATGAAGAATTTTCAGCTAGATTCATAGCAATGCATCTCCTAAAAATTAAGATACTGTATTAAAGTATTGCTATGACAATGTATACCAAAGGCAGTCAGAACATGTTATCCTAATGGTGTAGGGGCAAAGTTCAAGAGGAAAACCAAGTTAGAATTACTGGGTAAGGTATGGAATTGGCAGTTTTTTTCTGCAAACAAGTCCACCACAGTAAGACATAGATTGCTACACAGATACTTTAAACAAGAGCTTATTTATTCACAATTCAGATAAATTGTAAAGACACAAAAAAGAAATACAAATGACAAACTGGAAAAAAACTAGTGACACTTGAGTTCGCAGCCAGTACTTTATACATTTTAAAATGTTACTCAAACACTGCAGATGTAGAACTCCAATCAATTCCAAATAGTGAACTCTTATTACTATTCCCTTTAAAGCAAACTTGGAATGGGAAAGTCACCTGCTCCTTTACATATGATCACATGAACAAAATATCATTTAGCTTCTGCATCAAGCAATAATTCAGTGATGTGTTTTGAAGTAGCAACTCGTTTCATTCTGTCCGAGCTTTGTTTAGAAGAGAGTCAATATCAGTGTTCTTTGACACAACACAGATTCGCCTCCCCGCAAAATAAAAATGTCAGAGTAATGTTACACTTGCTGCTTGTAAGTATCCTTGAAGAAACTGCAGTGCTTCTGCATTCAGGCTAGTGCTCAGCATTGAGGGAACCTTCAAATACAAAACAGTATATTTATTCTATTTACAGCATTTCTGCACAACAGTAATCCAGTAATACCTATAATATAGAAATCTAGTTTCCTTCAGTCCTAATGCGTTAACTGAGATGCACACCACCTAACACATTTACATAATAGCTTCACTTTGCTGTTATTTGTCTGTGCCTAGTCACTTTGATACAATCACTATAAGTAATAAAAAGTGCTGGTACAGTTTGCATTTCACATTTATAACCGTTATGGAGCAGCGTACCTATATTTCTCATAGTCCCTTAACCCCTGAGAGTGATGGTAACACAAAGCTGTCAGGGCTAGGGAAGGGCAACTCTGAAGTCGAGAAAAGGCAGAAATGACATGTACACTTGTCCAAGGTTAACTGTTTCCCAATCCAGAAACCACAAAGCTAGAAAATTCTATCAGTCTCAAGTGGAGGGAGCAACAACTCTTACCTTCCTTCTTGAGTAGCTGGGGCAGATGATTGGGGGAGAGAAGCTGGGTAGGTCTTTGTAACACAGATTGAGATTAATCAGCCTACTAACTAAAAGTTCACCATGTGATTCTGAGAATTGTGGTCCAAAAGATAATTTCCCCTATCTCTCAGTTTAGCGCACTGAATTATTTCAGAATCAGAAATCTAACAATGAAGCACACTCATAGAAATCACTCATCACACACTGGCATTCCAACCACTGCAATGTATAACATGATGACTCCATTCAACATAAAGTAGTTTTACGCACATGAACTGAAGATGAAGAACTGCTCAAGCACACACTTAAAACACATACACAAACCAGTCAATGAATTTTGACCATCTAAAATAAGAGAAGACAAATATGTCATCCCTGTTCATATCATCACTGCCACAAATTAAAGTAACTTACCCTGCCAGGACATGCAGTAGATAACTTATGAAGAGACTGTGCAAGATGGATTTTTGGATTATTCACAGTTTGGCCCACTGGGTCGTGTTCTTTTTTTCCAGCAAAGGCAAGCTGAGAGAATGCAGTCTGGTATCCTGGTGTATCTTCTATATCAATAAAGTGTTCTTCATCCGGAAGAGTATCATCTTCAGGCAATTCAAAGAGGCCAATAAGGGCCTGAAGATGGGGTGTCCTAAAAATGAGAGACAACTACCGTCAACTTGTTTTGCAGAGGGCTATCCAAGTTCAGAGCAGAAATAAAAGTAGCACAAGCATTATGAATCTTCAATCAAAATTAAGACGCATCAGAATTGGACACACTGTGCCCACCCCATTTGAGTGAAGCTTTGGCTGCAACAATCCTTAGGGATGCTCACTATCATGGTGCACCTTAAAACCTCTTGAGGAATGGGGCTGCCTAGTCCACATCACTACAGGGAAGGGGACAGTCCTATAATTCTGTCTTTCAGAGTACACTTCTGCCTTGAATTGCATGGATCTGAACAGCATTGTTTTGGTTATACATGGATTTTTTTTCCAATAAATAAATATTCAACTGAAGCTCAGTTTCTCTGACCACCCAGAACCAGGACATGGATTTTTCCCCAATAAATAAATATTCAACTAAAGTTCAGTTTCTCTGGCCACCCAGAACCAGGGACACGAGTTCAACACTGAAGGTGTTGAAGTGGTCTACTTGCCCCCAAACACGATATCTCCAATTCAACCTCTAGATCAGGGGGGTCATAAGGACCTTTCATGCGTATACAGAGAACTATTCTGTTTGTGTGTGTGTGCATGTATGTTAATCAACAGTTTATTCTGTGTTATGTTTTCGGGGGCATAAGAGTTATAGACAGATTTTGAACTACAAAGGTGTCTGGCACTTCTAACCCCAGTGTTTTTGAAGGAAGACTTATACTCCCTTCCTGGCTTCAAACTGTACTGACTGCAAATCTATTTGCAGGTTTTAATCTAGTGACCAAACATGGTATTGCAGGCTTAAAATCAAAATCTATTACATTTAATTAAAATTAACAACAGTTCTTTAAAAATGAGGTATTTCTTAGCAATACTATTGTAAGGTACACTTTCAATTATTAGCTTTTGTCAAAGAAGGAGATACACTTACCACAGCTTTGTGTATTCTGTGTCCATCATAGGAGGACATTCTGTGAGTATTTTTGTGATGCCAACTGCACAGATTTTCTTTTCTACTTGTCCAGATACTTTCTGTATTTCTGGTATTATAATTTTCTCTAAAACCATTCCAAACATCCTGTTATTTGGCAAAATAAATCAATTTAATCTTACTGTAGTGGATATCTGAATAAGACATTTACTGTATTACTAAGTAAAGCTTGGACACAGATGATTCACATTCTGAACAAATTAATCTGCCAGTAGTCTACCCTTAGTGAGAGAATGAAATTATATGAAATACACTGAGTACAGGAAAGAAAAACAGTGCGTGAAGGAGAACTGTACTCTGATGTTTGGACATAAAGATTTTCTCTGAGCTGAATACTCAAATATATTAACAATGTAAGGTCTCCACATATCTCAACCTTCATGACAGCAAGTGACTAGGAGGGCCAACTGGGCTGTGGCAAGCCCCTAAATTACTTTAAGTGGGTAGAGGCAAAAATGTTACATTGGGTTTGGTTGTTTTTTATATAAAATGCTCCAGCTAAGCTTGACTATAACATAACCACAAATCCCTTACTGTAAGATAGTTTGTGCTGCAAATGTTCTTTCAGCCCTAAGCCCCATAGCCTGGAATACTGGCTCTAAGAATACAGCAAATAACTAACTATTCTAGGTATTGAAAAAAATGGAAATTTTAAAGAGATACTAACTTGGGCTGTATACTGTCAAATATTTCTTGAAGTGCTATTGCACCATATTTTACACAGTACAAGTTGATAAACACTAAGAAACCTATCAAAAGGAAAAGAAGAAATTAAAAGCTGTAAAATACACTTGTAATATAGTACAAGGCACAATCTATTTCCTTCCATAAACACAAACACCAAACAGTTAAAAATGCTCTGTACTGTTATTACTAAGAATCTGCAAAATTTATTTCCACCCCCTACATTACTGTAGAGGTTGACTCCACCACAGACCCTCACCAGTCCCATCCTCATAACCTGATATGCATCTCAACTGGTAGCCCTAAGCCCCTCCCTTTGCCTCTAAATTCACTCTTACATGTTATGTGCTTCCTATTTAATATTTTAAAAAGTTGGATTTTCTGATCCTATGTATACTAAGCCAACCATGTTCAAGCTTCGTCTACACCACAGAGTCACTGATAAGAGCTTACTTTTAATGTATTTTGTTGTTTTGGAATTCTGAAGTCTTTGGAACAGCAAGATGAAAATTTGTTTCCTGTACTGATCAATGGATTCACTAAAAACAAACAAAAAAGTGCAGAGCCTAGTTATTCAGGTCCACAATACTATTTCAGCATAACTACTTCATTAAGAGCATGTAATAACTTCCTTTCAATATATTCTGAGTCAGTACCATTAGAAATCTAGAAGCAAGCAAACCAGTTTCAGCAAAACTTGAATTTCTTATTTTTATACTCACGGAGGCATGTGTTCTATAATACTGTTAAGAAGGTAGAATCCCTGATGATCATTGAGTTTAGAAGCAATCAGTTTCTGAAATACACCTAAGAGTCCAGGCTGTAAATTAAGGGAAGACAAAAAAAAAATAGTATTTGCTTAGTGCTTACTCCCAATAAAAGTACAGGCAGATTTCCCCAAGAGGAAATCTGATGATAATAATTATCAAAGCAAAATACTCAAGGAGTCCTTTGAATTTGCTGAACAGTATTTTAGTTAAGTACAGTAAAAATTACATATAATGTTTCTGGATATAACCTGATGGGACTTCAGTTAGAGATGGGATTCTTGCAATTTGTGGCCTACAGCCTGTAGGAATTCCCCAGCCAGATTTCCTAGGGTTTCAATCAAGCTAGGAAAGTCCTGAAAGGTGCTTTTATGTTCTTACAAATGAATACAGACTCTGACAGCCATTTTCCTCCCGAGGAAAAGATAAGGTAAATGGGCAGGTCGGGCTCAGCTCTGTAGGAGCTACAAGAGATTATGAGTTTGGTAGCTTTCTTGGGAGGCTTGCTTTACAAAACCTAATGGCCAGAGATGACCATACCCATAATCCTTTGCAACTCCACAATCCTTAACTCTGCCCACTGATGAGGAAATTGGAAATAAAATTCAATATTCTATTGCTATGTATTAAAGCACGGATGTCTAACCAATGTAATAAAAGATTTCTCATTACACATAACTCTTAAAAAATTAGTTGCACTGCTGTATTCTTTAAATACTGGCCTCTGGCTTAGTTGGAAGAGAGGCACTGAGCTGAGTACAATAAAGTTTGTTCTGTGGAGAAATGCAAGGGGCAATTGTGTGCACAAGGTCAAAGGCAGGGATGTATACCTCAGCTAGAGCAGATAAGGGCGAAAATGAATGTCATGCTACACTTAGAAAAATGCAAGGCTATTGGGGGAGCAAGAAACTTACATGTTCCTACATAATAAATACTTGTGTTGATTAGTGATCCTCTGTTAGCAATTATATTTGATGCCTATGTAATAGAATGGAAGTACATTTGATAGTTTTCTCACTATTGAGCTGGACTCAGTGCACTGACTTTATTAATAAAGAACTTTTGCATAAAGTTTGACTGACCTCCGACTGGGACACGAGGTCTACAGAAAACCCACCCACACAGACCAGTACCTACACAGTACCCATAAACACCTCACTCCCAAGTAAACTACACCAGAGCAGAGTGCTGTCCTCTGAAGATGCCGGCCACAGAGACTGGCGAAACGTTAGGAAGAACAACCTTCAGAACACGGCTAAAGAGCCCGAAAACCCCCCAACAACTAACTTTTGCATAACATTAAAGTTTTCTTCAATTGACTAAGATTAATTCCCTATCACCATCCCTTTCCCTGTTTTCTCTACAGGACCAAAGTGGCTACTGGGGTCTGAATAAATGAATTTAGTAAAAGTCAGTAACATTCACAAATTCAATAAAAACATGAAAACACTGTCTGGCCTTTGATTGCTTGATTAAAGCCACCAGGGAATTCCTGCAGACTGTAATCCCTGAATTCAAAAAGTCTATGGCTAACTGCAGTCTGGAACAGATATGTTTCTTCAGTAACAGTAACTATGCCTAAATAAGTTTCACAGCTACTCGCAAACCAGATTTAATTACAAACTTGAAGTCTAAAAGTGAGTGAAAAGATGGTTGTGGGTTTTTCGGGTTCTTTGGCCATGTTGTGAAGGTGGTTCTTCCTGATGTTTCGCCAGTCTCTGTGGCCGGCGCGTTTAGAACACACGAGAAAGACGCAGCAAAGACAGGTAACATCAGTGCTGTATGTAACACCGACCACAGAGACTGGCGAAACATCAGGAAGAACAGCCTTCAGAACACGGCCAAAGAACCCGAAAAACCCACAACCACCGTCAGATTCCGGCCATGAAAGCCTTCGAGAATACGTGAAAAGAGTTTTGTTCATTTTGATACCTGCTAACACAGGATAATTCCCTCATCTCATTTTCTTAAAAAGAAACAAGTATAAACATCTAGCATTGCAACCAAATTATACATACGATTTTGTCAGCTGCAGCATTTGCTATCGTACTGGAGCCTCTCTCCAAGTAGGCCTGAAGGAGTCTCACCAGAGGAGGAATGTTTCCTGACCTCTCCCACAACACTGGCTGAAGCAGATGTGGAAATAAGGCCATGTAGGATGATGGGATGTCATTTTTATGCATCTCCAGAAGTAGAGACATTACTTGAAACACATAGGGAATGAATTCTGTTGAAAGGGCAAAACAGTTTATATTACGGACTAGTAATCTACCAGGAGGGTGCCTGAATGTTCTAACAGTGTCAAAGAGAAAACATAGTATGTGTGGGACAGCACTCTCTGCCCCTTTCACGACAGTTTGTGGGTTATGGACACAAGGGAGTTCTGAGATCAAAGTCCCATTTATTTAAATGATTGGACTTATTCTTAGTTCTAAATTACAGTTTTGAATGGTGCGGAGGAAAATTCTACACCATGTGTGTTCCCCTCAGGTCTTTAAGACAAGAAGATTTGGGCTAAAAACACTACCTAAATAAATGAAACTACACTCAGAATGTTTCTTTTTAGCTCTTGCTACTTTGTATAGCAACAGAAGGGAAGAGCTGGTTACAGGGAGATGATCTGTAAATACTCCTGATTAAAAGGAGCAATGGTATAAGTTATGCACCCTTTTAACTGTAATACTCTACACTAGAGGTCGTCAACCCCTGGTCCGCGACCTGGTGCTGGTCTGTGGCCTGAGCCAGACTGGGCCACGGAGACAGACCTCCCACCCCCCGCACGCACTCCCCTCCCCACAGCTGCTTTGCACACACACACCAGTGCGAGCGAGCCCCACTCCTTCATGCATGCCCGCCCGAGCACCTGCGTAAAGGGGTGGGCGGGCATGCAGACACTCCTGCACATGCATGAAGGGGTGGAAGAGCGCTCATGCCAGTGCTGGCGGGCACGCGCACGCTGCCCCACTGCTTTGTGCATGCGCCCGCGAGAGCGCCTGCGCAAGCGTGGAGGGTTGCCCCGTCTTCCTCAGAGGCTCAGCCGGTCTGCAGTCCCAAAAAGGTAGGGGACCGCTGCTCTACACAGTATCCCAATCATCCACCAATGTAATACACATCATTGTCTGGGGAATCCAGCTAATTATTTATACCTTGCACGTCGTTTTGCAGAATTTCCGTGAATACCATAAACAAAGCATCTTCAAAGCTTCCAACAGCAGTGGGATTTGTTTTGCAAGTTATCCTTATTGACAAGCAAATTGATTCAAACATGTAATGATTAAAGTGAGGCTTGCTTGGGTTCTAGAAACAAAATGAGAGTAGTTAGTTGTAGGCTGAGTAAAGCAGGGAGGGATCTCCTAATACAAACAGCAACAATCATTACACAGAACATGCAAAGAACATAGGAAACCCATTCTCCTCATAGAAGAGCAGACAGATTTTGATACAGGTTCTACCAAGGGCTATAAATAACCATATCTGTCCTCTATTTGGCAAGAATTACATCTTGAATTCTCATGGCCCTCCTCTGAGATGTGTATTATGTTTCATAATTGAGACTGAAGCTATATAATTTACATATCAGTGTACAATTTGCTGAACATAGCATCCTTCACTCTCCCCTCCCCCCAAAAAGCTGAATATTTGTAAGCCCCATTCACAAGCTTACTACCTAACAAGTTTTTATCTAACTCGGACAGGAATGACATGAAGCCTAGATTTCAGAGGAGGAAATACAGTTATTATTGCATACATTGTACTCCAGAGACTGTGTCCTTTTCAAAATAAATTCTATGTGAACTGCTCTAGCTAACCACAAGTGGTGATTCTTCAATTGACATTCAAGTTAGATAAAATACCCTACCCTCTAGACTATTTCAGTGCATTCCAATGGGGGGAAAATTCACCAAAAATTAACGAAGACTCAGAACAAAGCCAACTTAAGTTTGCAAAGGTTTTACAAGGGGCACTAACGATTCCAAGCATTTTAAACAGTTTTTGAACATTTTAAGACACTTTAAAAATAGCGAAAAAGGACATCGCTAAGCGAAACAGGGGGACCCAAACTGTCATCGCTATGCGTGGCATGGTCTCAAACATTGCTATGCAAAATTTTCCCATTGGAAACATCGCTAAACGGAGCGCAAGATTGCTCCTAAAACCTAATCGCTAAGTGAATACATCATTAAGCGAGGCAATCGCTAAGCGAGGCACCACTGTACTTCTTACAACAAGGTTTTTATTTGTTGAAAATAGATAGCGTGAAGATAATTTTATTGAATGCTACAAAATTCAACACCTTCAATTATGGTAGAGCGTAATTTGATGAACTTAATTTTGTTTAAACTTAATTCAGAAATTCTGATTTAAAGCTCATGTGGACATCCTTCATGAATACAAGAGACTCTCCTCTGATTTTTAATTGAGTGGAATGATGAATGAAGGGCAAGGCTATCATGTCCCTTTCCTCACATATTTTGCTTAACTCGAACACTGAATTAGTTGAATAGACCTGTTTAACTCCTTTAACTGCTACTTCCCGCCCAGCTATCTTTCTTTTCTCATAGCCTGGTTCCCCAAGAAGGCAACCAAAAAGCAAACTATTGTTAGGTGACAGACACAGAACAATGCTCTAAATAAGAGCAACAGGGTAACAGAATATGGGAACAAATACAGTATTTTTATTTACCTTACTGACTGCAAGCAATTTTTGTGTGAGTTGATTGATGAGAGAAGGGATATAAGGAATGATAGCTTCCTGAAGCAGAGAAAAGCTTCTCATGATAGCTGCAAATTCAGGAGATTTACATTACTCAAGGCAGAAAGGATTCCCTTTTATACATCTTTACAAACTGCTTAAAATACTAAACCTTGTAGGCTGTATCTAAAAACAAGATACATTTTTTTATGCATAGAGATATGCTAACACTTTTAAACATACACACACAAACATGAATTTGAGATCCTTTTGAATAAAGAAATGTTTAAATAAACTAGAGACAAATCAGAGGTCTTTACATTTATTCTGGGTTCAGGTGCCAACCTAAAGGATAACAAAGTAGGTAGTGTCACAATACACTTTAAAAGTACTGTCGGCTTACTTTCCAAGAATGTGCTGCAGATCTCTGAGTTCTTAACCTGGTGCCTATGAGATGCATTTAACAGCAATTCCCATAATCTCTCTGCCAGCATGGCCACTGTCACTAGAGGATTACATGCATTGTAGTCTAACACATCTGAAGGGTATGAGGCTGCAGAGGCTGCTCTAGATAAAGAGGTGGGCAGAAGGTAAATCTGGACCTACTCATACTCCTCTGCCTTTTTTGCAGTAGCTCAAAGAAAGTAGCAACAAAAACAAAATTACCCTCCTCTCACCCAGGCCTAGTCCCAAATTAATTCAAATGAAGAAACCTTTGGATAATCAAATTGGTATTCTCATAAAAACAGTTGCATCATTATGAATTGATCAGATTTGACTACACGATGATACCACAGAGGAAAGATTAAGCTAATTCAGAGGAAGGGCAGAATAACTATGCAAAGATGTTGCTCTTCTTAACACCACCAATTGAAAAAAGGTAGTGTCAGAACAGCAAAGTGAAGGACAGATGTGTTTATTAGAGCATACTCTCCCCTTTTAAATATAGCCTCTTACCTTTCATAATATATTCATTTTCTGATGAACCTGGAAGTGTCAGAGCTTTGAAAAGGTTTGTTAACAGCATTTCAACATATGGTGCCATCTCTGCTGCTGTAATCCTGTATAGGAAAAGACAGCGCTTGAAAAACTCCAGTATTTTTACAATCACTCACCAAGACCCTCATCATAACTGAATACTGGAAGGAACGCATGACGCATTAAATAATATATGAGAGTGCAAGGAACACACAGAGAATGCCAACCCCACTTCTTAAATCCCTGTTGACTTGAGAACCAAACAACTGATCAAATCAATTCAAAGCCCAAGTTCTTTAAAAATGCAGCATCAGAGTCAGAATTGATACAGTGATTTATGATTCACTAAAAGGAGGAAAGGCAAGGCAATTAACCAGAGCAAGAAAAAGCAAAGAAATAGATGGGGATTGTAATACATATAACCAGATATAAACTTACAACGTAGCATTATTAGGCCCTTTCATTGTAAATAATCTTTCAAGGGCATGGGCTGCATATGTATGTACCACAATACTTTCTGCTTGAAGGTAGTTTATTAGAAGAGGAATGGAGACCAAAAGTTGTTCTTTGGGTACCTACAAAAGAGACATACAGTGTGTGTAAAAAGGTTTTAAAAGCAGAAATACCGAACAGAGCATAACAACAGAAATATTTGAATGAAATTATGTATTATATTTTTGGGTCACTACTTGTTACATGTACACAATTATAATTTCTTTACTTAAGGTTTGCAGATAGAAGATTACAAACATCTCACCACATCTATAGTATGCTTTTAAAATGACACATACTTTGTTAAGCCAAGATCATGGGCCACTGAGAAGTAAACATTTTTGGGCTTTTAGAAGATTAAATCCGGAGGAAACATTAGCTGGCAACTTTTAAAGGCATTACACATAGAAAACAAAAGTAAGATATAGCCATATTAACTGTTGCATTAATCAAAACAAGAGATATTGAAAAAAGGAATGAAAACCTAATACTGATAGTTTCTCTTTTCCAGTTATTCAGACTACATTCTAAAACAATGCATATAAATGCATATGGATATTTTCCATACATGAAGCAATATGCTTATAAAAAAATTTCAGCTGGGCATTTCAGAACTCAGATGGATCATGGAACTTACTTGATTTCTAAAAATCATGATGTACTTGATGCCATCAGCCTTAAGCACAGGAAATTCATTGACTATTTAAAAAAAAGGTAAATCACAAGTTAAACCAATTTGTTACAGCAGACAAAAATAAAACTAAAACATATAAAACTTTTAAGGAATTCCCCAGATTTCTCAATATATTCACTTTATCGGCAGAAGACATCTCTACTAACAGTTTCCAACTGTGTGAAAATGATGCCATACTGCAGAATGACACAAGTTACAAGCAAGGTTCCCGCTAAGCTGGACACGTGTGCACTCATTTCCGCTTCCCTCCGCCCAGCTCTATTCCTTCTCTGCACAGTGATCGCATAGGTTCCAGTCATGATGGAATCCAGTGCATGGCGGTGGGCAGAACTGCATGTGAATGCAGGAGTGTAGCCCCAAGAGAGAGAGAGATGTGGAGCCCTACCCAGTGGGGCTGAAAATTAGAGGGTACACTGGTTACAAGTTATTCTTCTATCCAGTGCTACACTAGTGGATGTCTGCTACTGCAACAGGATTTCAGTCCCATCCTCTTCAGTCTTCTGCATCACTCAAAACAAAACAAAAACCTCCATGGACAATCCCAGTTGTTCATAGAAAGTCTGGAGGATATGCAAGGGAAAGAACTGCAGGAAGGAGGCGGCCTTTCAAAGTTCTGTCTTTAGTAGACAATTACTACAATTACAAAGCCCCAGGTGTTCCCTACACATCATATCTATGTGGGTCCTAAAAGACAGATACTAAAGACTGTCCACAGAAAACTCAAAACGTACCATTGGGAGACTTCAGGTCTGGTAGAATATGATTCACAAAGAATTCAGTCAGATTTACAAGTTCATTTGCTTGTGTTATTCCATGCTGGGTGGGGAAAAGATCATTTAAACATCATTTCTGGCTTAATTTACAATAAAGCTGTTATTTAAACATGCACCACTTAAGTGTTTACTGTGACTAAATCATAAAGTTTCTGTAATTGCCTTCTGTACATAAAAGTAATGAACAATGCAACTGAAACCCTTTTTTAAAAAGCCATTCCAAACAATGAGGCGAGTTAAATCAGTGAACTCAATCAGCGCAGTTGGTTCCATTTTAACAGTCACATAACGACTGCTGATAGCACTTTTCTCAAAATACTAGATTTCCAATTGGGAATCAGGGCTTAACTTTGGCTACTATGCTAATAATTGCATTTGAGTTTCATTTGGTGACATTCAATGAAAGAAACTGTTATATAGTGAACGGGTTAAGCTAAGGAAATAAAAAAACCCATGGTGATCCACACATGGAGTCATTCCCTTTGAACAAGTACATGGACTACATGTGCACTGTCAAATAACTAAAGCTTTATTCCCTCTCACTTTAAATTACAAAGCTTGGCCTCTGTTCAGGAACTTTACTTCCCTACATTGTCAAATACTCCACCTCATAGGCTTCTCCTTAAATTTGATCACAGCCATTTTACCATAACTGGAGGAAATCACCAAACTGTGGCATGTCAGTCCCCAGACAATGACAGCTTACATACTTTCCTTCTCCACTAAGCGAAGTGGAACAGCTAGGCCAGGCCATTGCTTCAAGCAAGCATCGAAGTTATTATGAGCAAATCTGAAAGCAATGACTAGAGATACAAATACCCTGTTTTGCTAAAGGGGTGAACAGCCTACATGCGATTTTTATGTCAATTTTATATCTTATAACAGGTGACTAACTATTATAAAGTATACTAAAAAAAACAGAATATGAAAATTTTGGTAGAAATATTCTAAATATATCCGTTTAAAGTAATTTTTCTCACCTATATTATTTAGCAGTTTAGTTGCCTGACATGACCTCCTAAAATCCCTGAAAGGTTACAGAGTACAGTGGTGCCTCGCATAGCAAGGTTAATCCGTTCCGGATTAACCGTCGCTATGGAGAAACATCGCTATACGGAAAGTAAAAACCCATTGGAACGCATTAAACGAATGGGGCCCAAACTCACCATTCAGCGAAGTTTCTCCATAGTGCCGCCATTTTCGCACCCTCGGTAAGCAAGGGCAGGGCGCGAAAACGCTGCGCGCGGCCATTTTGGGCGTCCGGCGGCCATTTTGGAACCACTGATCAGCTGTTTTTTAAAAATCGCTATGCGAAAATCGGTAAGCGAAACGCTTACCGATCGTCGCAAAGCGATTTTCGTCCATTGGAAACATCGGTATGCGATTGCATCAGCGATCGCAAAATCCGCATCGCTATGCGGATTCATCGTTAAACGGTACGCTCGTTATGCGAGGCACCACTGTACCTTGTACTCCTTGTAAAATCAACGCAAGTACCTTTTGTGTTTGAGCTTTTGATGCCAAAGATGTTACAAGATAAATAGCAGCATCTTTATGCTTCCAGTTGACAGATGGATTCTTTGCATATTCTTGGAGCATAGAGTTAACATAACCAGAAAAGATCGCTGTCACGGGTCCTTCAAAAAATTTGCACAATCCTCTAACAAGATCGCAGGCTGCTCTACGTCTGGTATCAATATCTGCACCATAAGCAGAAGTAAAAATACAATGCATGTTAGGACTGTTTGTAGGCAACTTTTTAGGCAGTTTTAGCCAGTTTCTTCTTGGATTTCAAGAACCATCTGCAAACTGCTAAACCATGTGCAAACTCACATGTGGATAAGAATTGTTCAAGTCCAGTTTACACAGAAATTTAGTTAAAGAGACTTCTGCCGCCCTATTAATCTTACAGTGGCCAAAATCATTTTGCTTGTTGTAAGCCTATTCAGAATCTAGGGTCTGTTCCTCCCTGGTAAACAAAGTGTCCCTGTCACCATTCTCTGCGAAGTAAGAACAGTTCTTTTACTGGGGAAAAAAACAGACCGAATGTTACAATGTGCCTCACACTAAGCAAGGGGATTTCAGCTAGTACAGGTACTCCTAGCAGTTAATGCAGGAGTAAAAACTTGATAAAAATGGTTTATTTGTACACATAAAAATGTAGCAAACATAGCAAAACTACAGTACGATAAATCAGAGAAAAATATGGTTACTTATATTTCCCTGTCCACAAAAAGTAAAAGATACTTAAAATCATTCAAGATAGGCTAATAAGATATGATCGTCATTCTAACCCATTTATAAAGGTTTTAAAAATCTATAAGGGGTATCAAAATACTACTAGCTTCCTTAGAATTTTAACAGTAAAGTAAATTTTAAAATACATTTGAAGGTTGTATAAAATATATTCATTCGGAGAACAGAAAATTCACTAAAGACAGCTGCTCCCTGCAGGCACTGTCCTTTGCCCCATTAGAGCCTCCAGATAAATCCATACTGTCACACAGAATTCAACAGCTCATTACATCCAACCCAACTGTATTTTTGCTTTTGAAACAAAATAGTCATCTGACCCTTTAGCAGAAGCAAAATCTTAGATCAGATACTATCTTTACTGGACCACTAAAACCTTATAAAAAGTTTTCCTTATTTGAATGTACAGTATTTTATAATTCTATGACACTCTACTGGAACATACCATATACAATAGGAAAGAAGATTACAGCTCCAGAAGAGAAGAGAATGAGTAGAGAAGTGAATAAGTCATGTTTGTACTATGTGCCCTTCCGCAGCTCAAAGTACCACCTCATAAGTGTGACAACCTGACACCCCAGAATTGTTACTGAATTTCTCCTGCAGATTGTTCTTTCTTCATTGCTATATTAGCAATGAGGAAACAACAATCTTGATCAGAGTTGCTTAGGGAAAGTCTAAATGGAAGATTCTTCATTCCAACATCTCCTGTCCCTAAAGATCATTTACAGATTACTCACTGCTGGGAAACAAGCAGCCCATAGGAGGATCTATGGGGGAAGGAACAGAGAGCATTCATTTGCCCTCTACCCTATCTTGTGCAAACTGATCTTTCCACGGAGGAAGGTAGTGAAGATTTTTCAATCCCTCCCAGTGACAAAAAAACAAAGGAAAAAACCACACCTGTGGCTATATGTAAATTTGCAGAAGCTCATGTTGTGAAGGTAGGTGCATGATTGTATATGACCCCTGAACTAGCTCCATATGCATGATCACATGAAGAATTCATTTTGGGGAGAAATTGAAGAAAAAAAGGATAAGGGAAGCTATCTAATGTTCATAGGAGCAAGAGCCTAAGTCATACTATGGAACACAACTTTTGACAGGTAGATTAGAACAAAAACTGCACACATTAAAGATCAGTAACCATGTAATTTCCACTTATGCTACAAGTACAGAGTTAACCAGTTCACTGAGGTCTCCTCCTGATAGAAGAGCCTGACATAATGACAGTCCTGTAGCATTGTTGTGATATTTTTAATTTTTAAAAATAATCCATGAGTAGGAGGTATTAAACAGAAAGCAAGAAGAACATGATCCAGAGTACTAACTAAAGCCTACCAATCCATGCACTAACCCATGGCATACAGTGGGCCCTCGACTTACTTTTACTTACTTTACTTTTATTAAACTTTTACCCCGGCCCCCTAGACAAAGTCTACTCGGGGCGGCTTACATACATAAAAAAAACACAACAGTATAACAAACATAATAAAATCCTTCGAAAACTCAAAACTTAACACTTATTTCTAAAAACACTGCCAAGATGGAATAGTTCAGGAAACAGAAAATAAAAATCAGTTAACTGACTGGAGGGAAGGCCATTCCGGATGTCTGTTTGTAACCCGCAAAGTTCGTAACTCGAATCAGCATTTCCCATAGGAATGCACTGAAAACCATTTAATCCGTTCCAGCTGTTTTTGGTTCTTAAGTCGAGGTGCGGTTCGCAAGTCGATTCATTAGTTCCCATAGGAACTAATGCAAAGCTGTTTAATCCGTTCCTACCACTAGGCGCATAATTTTTTCTTTTTTTCCCTTTTTGTGGCTCGTAACTCGATTCCGCGTTCGCAAGTAGGGTCTATAGTTTCCTATGAGATTGGGTTTGTAACCCGAAACATTCGCAACTAGGGCCGTTTGTAAGTTGAGGGCCCACTGTATCTAAAACCTAAAGGACATAAATGTATACTTATACAATTATTCTAGGGTGAGAAGATATAGATTTTCTAATTACAAAAATTTTAGAGTTTCCTCTTATTTAAGTCATCCAATGCTGCTTAATTACACAGCATAAAACTGATTACCAGATCCTTCCAAATCTCTTCTGATATATTCTTCAGAATTATCTTCAAAAGCTTCTTCATCAGCAGCTGTAGAAAAAACAGTCCATGAATCATTTTAAAGATCAGCCACCAATTATTTCAATATTACATATTATTGAAAATAGTATTTTAAATTAGCTATATGCACTATTTTGTGAAATTACTAGGACTGAAGTGGTGGCGCTGCGGGTTAAAACGCAGAAGCCACTGTGCTGAAGGGTCAGAAGACCAGCAGTCGTAAGATTGAATCCATGCGACGGAGTGAGCTCCCGTCACTTGTCCCAGCTCTTCAAGAAGGAAGAGCCACACAATGGTGAAACCTTGCTTCAACAACAATTCCAGAGACTGCACCAGCTAAAGCAAGTTGTAAAAGCACAACAATAGCCATTGGGAGAAGCTGAGTATGTGGTTGGGATGGCAACCAATGCTCACCCCTTGTAAAGAACAGTGACTGCGGGAGGCTCCACTAGAACTAATTTGAACCATCTGGAGGTGTGTTAAACAGCAAAAGACTATGGATTTGAGAAAGGCTCTTCCTCCAGAAAGATAATAGGAACCACTCCATGGCATATTTGCAATGGGCCTACTGGAAGGACACAAGGATAGAGTGCATGGAGTAAAGTCCCTATGGGCCATCTGCTAGATCTAGCTGCAGTGTCCCTAGTTGGCAAAATGAGTGCTTGTGTTCATGTCCAACCCTACTGGTCTCTTTGACACTCTCTGACCGTGAAGGGTCTGGGGGTGCATGCCATGCCAGTGAACTAATTTTAACAATATGGAGTGCAGGCCAATTGCTTGAGGATAAAATGTGGCTGAACTATCAGAAGTAGCAGAACCTAAACAACTCTTTACAGAATAGTCACAAATGGACTGCTTGGAGTAGCAAAGAGCTTACACCTTTGGGTTCTTTCAGATAATACCAGGAAACGGTTGAGTACTCTACCAACAAGCTTTGAAGGAACCCCCACACTCCTGCACTTTTTTCCTTTCCTCTTGTGTAGTGTTTCACTGCATCTGAGGCAAACCATAGTTAGCCATTTCAACTTAACTGGCAAATTATAATTTATAGGTGCTGTGCAAATCAGGATTAGAAACTGCTGGCCAAAATTCTGTTGGTGTTTGCGTAAGGTTTGCAGAACTTGTGACAGCTCATTGACAAGATGCCACAGAGTGCCATGGCTGCAACCGTGCAACCAAGATGCGTCACAGTATTTTGTCAATAGATGACAGTAAGTTACACAAACCTCACTTGAATATCATTAGAATTTCAGACACTGATCATCTTTGGGATATCCTTTGTAAAATGCTGGTTGAATAGCTCAGTAATTTAGGTATCTGGTTGTGGAGCTAGAAGTTGGCACACTTCAATTCCATACTGTGCTTCTGGCAAATACAGCCAGTCTGTGTGAGCCATGGGCAAACTGCACAGTCCCATGGTGTCCCTGGAAGAAGGGAATGGTATGCCACTTCTGAGTATTCTCTACCTGTCAGTAGAGTCAGTAAGTCAGAACCAGCTTGATGAAACTTCATCATTATATTTGTAAAACAAAAGCTTAATTGGATGTTATGACTGAAGCTGCTTTATGCATGAAAAAGATGGGTAAATTCAATTAGTATAACTGCAGTCTCTCAATAAAATCAAACTAAATCAAGCTTTGATAGTCAGTGAAGGAGAACTCCCACAAAAACTGGAATTATTTCATCACATACTATTAATGCACAAAAATATTAAGCATAATGGTAGTTTTGAGAGTACAGAATAGGAATTTATCTTCACAGATTTAACAAATTTGGAGACAAAATATTACCACTTACAGAGCCTGTAGTTATCACAGCTCAAAACTCAAATTTTGCTTGCTGAAGATAAAGAAACCAACAAGATTTGCTTTAAAAAGGTAAATGTGTCAGGATGTATAAAGAATGAGGATTTATTCAACTTCAAGCCCCGCCTAACCCGTTTCAGAAGAGCATAGGGCCTTCTTCAGGGGCTATACAAAGAGAGACACCATGTTGATCAGACCTTATAATAGTCAAATTCAATTATATGTTATATTGTTCATTCAATGCGTTATCCCTCTTTCTTTCTTTACATAGCCCCTGAAGAAAGCCACATACTATTGAGGGTGAAATGCGTTGGACAAGTTTTAAAGCAGAATAAATCTACATTATTAATACATTCTGAGACTTTTGCCTCTTTCATAATTGGATCTATTGGATGTTTCCAGTGGGGTTTTTTTTGGGGGGGGTGTTTAAAAAAGGAAAGATTTACCTCTAAATTCCATGTTTGGAACAATCACTTTTTCACAAATACTTGTCAGTGTATTCTGGTCTTCAAATAGGTGCTTGTAATGAGGTCTCTCACAAACTGAGGCCAGAAACTGGATTGCATTACTTACCAACTACAAGAGAGTGAAAATGAAACAGGTAATTTACTATCTAATTTAAACAAGTATCATGAAAAGGTCACTTCAAGTTGGGTGAAGGAAGAACAGTTATATTTACCAAATCATATTTAACTTCTTGACCTGTTGTGACTAATAAATTCCAGATTGCCGTGACAAAACGGGGCAGATAAGGCTGAAATTCTTCATCATATTTTTGAGCATACAATGCTGCATTATCACAAATTTGGGATTTCAAAAGCTCTAGCAAACCAGCTTCTTCTTCATCCTGGCAACAAAAACCAAACAAACATCAACTTATTTCAATTACAATATTTAACTTGCCTTACCACTCAAAGAATGTACAGGGCTTATGTATGCATAATCAACATGTTGTGGAAAGAGTTGTTATTGTGATGTACTTCAATAGTTTGCAACAGTGAATTTATACAGACAAGCTGAAACTAATGCAAAATATGTACAATCTGTTTTCATATTTCTTTAATACATGATACATTTTTCAACCATTGTCCTGTAACTTTATCAGCTGCAAATCAAATTAAGGTAAACAGTACAAATGTGATTCCAATGATGTGATGAATATTGTTTTGGTCAGCACGAAGCTAGAATTTCTTGTTATACCCTGTTTTCCTGAAAATAAGACCTAACCTGAAAATAAACCCCAGTATGATTTTTCAGGATGCTCGTTAATATAAGCCCTACCCCAAAATAAGCCCCAGTTAAGTGAAACCTCGCCCTCCACCATTTTGCAGCAAACAAAAGAAGATGACATGACTGTATTTAGATAAATGTATATTGTTGTACATGAAAAAAATAAAACATCCCCTGAAAATAAACCCTAATGCATTTATGGAGCAAAAATTAATATAAGACCCTGTCTTATTTTCAGGGAAATACGATAGTACAATTACAAGAGAACATAGACTGTAACACTAAACCTAACTATTTTTAATAGCCAGGATTCCTGAATATCTCCATTCACTACATGGATGCCTTCATATTGAAAATCCCAATTAACAGTTTTGCTTGTTTGTTTATAATAAATACATAGTGTCATAACTAGAGATGGGGCTATTCGTATTCGTATACGAATATTGCCGAGTAATGATGTAATGGTGAAGGATCCTGACTTTATAGCAATGAAAGAAAGAAGGATTCCTTTACACATTTTTAGACTGGCAAAATCCTCATATACTTTCAATATTTCTATGAGTAATTCTATAAATTCTATCTACACAAATTTTAAAAGGCAACATTCACTGACTTGCTACTGCAGTTTCAATATTTTTTTCTGAATTCAGAAGCAGCTATTTTTTGCCACTCATGCTAACATTTAGATTTTGTTTCGCTCTATTCAGATATTTTACTAAAAATGTTCTGCTATTACTTACATCTGTTTGTAATAGTTTGTTATCCAGAGTTAAAAGGTTATGGAAATTCATCATCCAAGTTTCCATGTTATCTTCAAAAAATTCAGGAAGGTCCTATAAAATTAAGATGTAAATTCTTTTTTAAAAAAATATTCAACTATATAATTTGCTTATTGAAAAAGCATATTCTCTTTTACAGTTTTTCAGCAGAGCACTAGAGTAACTTGTGAAACCATGACTGATGATACACAATTTCTCAGTTGTTAGAGAGCTTCTAAAGTTCAAGAGGCAACAAGCCAAATTAATGTCAAATTAATGTTAATACATCTTGAGATGTAAAATGCTCCCTGTCAGCCCTCTTATCTCATAATCAGTAAGACATTAGCAATATAAATATCTGTTACTTTATTCATTTTTGTTAACTTTCTGACCTGCCTTCCCTTCAGTTACATACCTTAGTCACTAAGAGAGCTAAAAGTCAATGGAACAGCAGCTTAAGATAATTAAAATTTCTGCTCCCCAGGAGATAGAAAGATTTGTAGATCACCATAATTACATGCACACAGTGCTTCTTAATTTACTGTCCTGTGAGCATACACATGAAAGGAGGAAACTCTAAGGACCTAAAACCTTTACTACTTAAAGGAACAATTTTTGTTTTCATCAAATTGCGGTATATTCAAGGTGCAATTCTTCCAACTTTCAATTTTTACTATTTAATTTTCCTTCCCAACACAAACCTTGAACAAACTAAAAGAAAAAGGAGCAGATTCTTGGAAATCACTCTTGGTATACCTAAAAATAGAGTATACAATACCTTTGGATTTGTTTAAAAGCTGCAAGGAAATGGCATTTGAGAATATCTGGGTAGCGCTGACCACCAGATTACTCTTTTAAACCTTTCATCATCTCCAAAACCCATCAATATTTTCTTGTGATTAAATCCATGAGTATCTAACTATCTAACATTGAAACTGCTGCTTGAATTCTATGTCATCCTAGATGAGTTAGAAGATAGGCTGCAGAAACAAAGCTAAAAACAAAGACGGCTTACTTGAAAATTTAAACTGTAGAACAACTTAGCAATCAAAATCAAAGAGGAGAAGAGAACTTTCAAAGCGCTTGCATCGTTCGCATGAGTATTGCAAAGCTCAATTGTGGCCTAAAAATGGAGAAAAAACCAATAGCAATCACCATCACAATTGATTCAGTATAATATATTTGCTAATGTTTTGTTTCTACTGAAAGCACATTTACAATCTCAGTTAATGCCTCTGATATCAATTTCCATTTGAAACATAAAAACTTAAAGTAACATAAAATCAGGGGCTAGAATCTTGAACAGAAGCCAACAACATGAGAGAGTCTGCTTGCAAAATAAGAATCTTGAACAGAAGCCAACAACATGAGAGATAAGGCTTCTATCTCTCCCTTTTCCCTGCTCCCAAATATAACCTCTGGCATATCCTCCAACATTCAGGAATAGATTCTGAAAGTGCACAAGGGGAGAGATAACTGCTCAAACTCCTGGTTCTTCCTACCAAATCAGTTCTATCAGCAGAAAAACTGCATTATATTTACTCAATATCAACATTATTCTTAAAATAATGTTTTCTACATAAAACTGTCTTGAATTAGTTTAATTATCTACTGTATATGTGATGATCCTTCATCTGTGTAACAGGAAGATTCAGGAGACAGTAGTATGAAGACTTCAGTTTCAGTTTCTTGCAGCAAGAGTCATCTTAGATAATGAATAACATCCATCTTATCTCAGCATGCAAAATGGAAGTTATGATCTCATAATAATCAACGTTAAAGGTCTGGCTGTGAGGTTAACAAAGCATATTAAAATGGTGTAAGTCTATTCCAGATTACACAAATATTATACCTTAAAGAGATTTGTCAAAGGTAGTGCAAAGGCATCAAGGACAAGTTTGATCTCTGTCCACAGTTCATTTGACTTAAACTCATGACGGTATCTGGCAAATAGAAGAAAAATTATAATAGCTGAACTTTTATTTGTTTTGCAAAGTACCTTGAAAACTAGTGCCAAAAAAGAGAAAGAAACAACAGTGAGAAACATCATCACCAAAACAGAATACTTCCACTTTCAGATCAGAGTTTGGAAATTCCCAGGCTCTCCCCATACCTTTTAAATAAAGAATGTGCTGTGCGAAGAACTCCATTAATAACGTGGAAGTCTCCACTCTGAAAACGGTTCACCATTTCTGTTAGTAGGTCAGGCCACTTCTGGGGAAAATCTTCCCTACCAATTATGCTAATTGCATCACTTAGCTAAAAAGAGAGAGAAGTAGTTTGTAAAGAGTTGAAAGCAGGCTCTCCCCATACCTTTTAAATAAAGAATGTGCTGTGCGAAGAACTCCATTAATAACGTGGAAGTCTCCACTCTGAAAACGGTTCACCATTTCTGTTAGTAGGTCAGGCCACTTCTGGGGAAAATCTTCCCTACCAATTATGCTAATTGCATCACTTAGCTAAAAAGAGAGAGAAGTAGTTTGTAAAGAGTTGAAAGATGACAATTTCTTCACCGTTAACTAAACACGGGTTTCCATCTAAGAAACTGCTACACGTTAACGATATAACTGTCAATAAAAGCAAACGTGTTTAGCTCCCACTGTAGTCCTCAACCCTGGAAGTAGGCTCCCAGCAACTTAAGCTTTACCACTCATTATGAAAGATAAGCTACATATTGTTATTGTTTGTTCTTGTTGTTTAGCCGTTAAGTCGTGTCCGACTCTTCGTGACCCTATGGACCAAAGCACGCTAGGCCCTCCTGTCTTCCACGGCCTCCTGGAGTTGGGTCAAAGTCATGTTGCTAGCTTCGAAGCTATTTTTGACTATTAAAGGCTCCCCTATTGTCCTGAAGCTCCCAAAGACTTCCCCAGGTCACACGAGAGCCTTGGGAAACCTTGGGACGTAAAAGAGTGGGGTAGAAAACATTCATGCAAATTAATTATTTCATGCACCAGATCCAGTTTACATTCTGTAACTGTATGCCAATAGGACCTTGTCCAATGTATATCAGAAGTAAAAATCAAAGGAAGAAACTGCTCTAGAATAAAAACCCCATTTATCATTACATTAATTAATTTCACACTCTGTATCAATGTTTTTGGCCTTTCAAACATCTGTCCAAACCTCTCCTGCAGAGTTATTCCCACAGACCTGCACTCCTGGAATGATACGGACCTCTCAGTGAAGCCTAGTGCAATAATTCAAGAATTTACTCTGGTATCTTCACCATTTTGTTGTTGTTATTTAGTCGTTAAGTCGTGTCTGACTCTTCGTGACCCCATGGACCAGAGCACGGCAGGCCCTCCTGTCTTCCACTGCTTCCCGGAGTTGGGTCAAATTCATGTTGGTAGCTTCAATGACGCTGTCCAACCATCTTGTCCTCTGTTGTCCCTTTCTCCCCTCGCCTTCACACTTTCCCAGCATCAGGGTCTTTTCCAGGGAGTCTTCTCTTCTCCTGAGATGGCCCAAGTATTGGAACCTCAGCTTCAGGGTCTGTCCTTTCAGTGAGCACTCAGGGTTGATTTCCTTCGAAATGGATAGGTTTGTTCTCCTTGCAGTCCAGGGAACTCTCAAGAGTCTCCTCCAGCACCACAATTCAAAGGCATCAATTCTTTGGCGGTCAGCTTTCTTTATGGTCCAGCTCTCACTTCCATATATTGCTACTGGAAAAACCATAGCTTTGACTATGGCGACCTTTGTCAGCAAGGTGATATCTCTGCTTTTTAAGATGGTATCGAGGTTTGTCATCGCTTTCCTCCCAAGAAGCAGGCATCTTTTAATTTTGTGGCTGCTGTCACCATCTGCAGAGATCAAGGAGGCCAAGAAAATGACATCTGTCACTGCCTCCATATCTTCCCCTTCGATTTGCCAGGAAGTGATGGAACCAGTGGCCATGATCTTAGTTTTTCTGATGTTGAGCTTCAGACCATTTTTTGCGCTCTCCTCTTTCACCCTCATTAAGAGGTCCTTTAAAGCCTCCTCACTTTCTGTCATCAAAGTAATATTATCTGCATATCTGAGGTTGTTGATATTTCTTCCAGTAATCTTAATTTCGGCTTGGGATTCATCCAGTCCTGCCTTTTGCATGATGTATTTTGCATAAAAGTTAAATAAGCAGGGAGACAATATATAGCCTTGTCGTACTCCTTTCCCAATTTTGAACCAATCAGTTGTTCCATATCCAGTTCTAACTGTTGCTTCCTGTCCCACGTATAGATTTCTCAGGAGAAATCTGTATGTGGTAGTCAGGCACTCCCATTTCTTTAAAAACTTGCCATAGTTTGTTGTGGCCCACACAGTCAAAGGCTTTTGCGTAGTCAATGAAGCAGAAGTAGATGTTTTTCTGGAACTCTCTGGCTTTCTCTATAGTCCAGCGCATGTTAGCAATTTGGCCTCTAGTTCCTCTGCCCCTTCAAAATCCAGCTTGTACTTCTCGGAGTTCTCGGTCCACACACTGTTGAAGCCTACCTTGTAGGATTTTGAGTATAACATCTTCACCATATCAGGTATAAAAGAGATGATAAAGCTAACTCATTTTTACTTAAAACTTAACAGCAGCCACCCAAGTGTTTACCATTTTAGTACGGGAAGTTTTTAAAAGATGTGTTGTTTATAGCACTTGAAATAATGACTTTTTGATTCCATTTACCAACTCCTTCAATTAAGAGAAAACTTGATATGCAACACAACCCTAACCCTAATTTTTTCTCCTCACTGTGCTTACCAGGAACATGGATTTTTTTAGAACTGTTTATAAAGTTTGCTGGGGCCAAGCAGAAGACATGAATCTCCCACAGCTTTCTCTGCTTAGCAAGTGTAGCACCTAGTGGCGCAAGATGGTCCTGCATGCTACAGAACAATTTTAATTAACTATAAAGAAATAATCCAATCTAAAAAAATTAACCCCAGATGAACGCCCCAGGATCCATTTAGTATTCAGGGTAGGTTTCAAGTGTATAGGCTTGAACATCTAAGAGCTCTGCTGGAGAGACTACAAACAGACATACATAATCTCCTTTACTATAACAGATGGACAGGTGACTTCTGAGGGCCCAAAGGCCTTTTTTTAAAACTCCCATTAACTAACTGAGGGGCACACCAGTCCCAATAAAACTAATAGTGATCAAAAGATCACTCCTAATTTTTAAAAATTATTTGGTGAGGGGGAAAGAAAGGTGCATGGGAACAAATTGCATCTTCTGTAATAAAAAATAAGAGAAAACACCGAACCATTACAAATGGAAGATGATGGTATCTTAACACCAATAATATCCCTTGAATGCAAGAGGGCAACTAGTGTTGAAGAATGCTAGGATTCTCAAGGGAAGGTCTTGTGCTCTGAAACCATTTGATGAGGAGTCTATAAATATCCAGAATACACATCTGGAATTTAGGATTAATACTCTAGTTTTGCTATGCTAGGAGATCAGAACCAAGAATACAATAAAGGTTCAAAATTGTGCAAATCAAAAAAATGACAGTGAATTTCTCCATCCAGTCTGAAACTGGAAAAGTGAATTGAGGATCATCTGTTTGTTTATTTGAAGTATTTTTAGATGAGACTCCCACACCTCTGAGACTTCTGAAAATATTAGGCTTCTTTCTTTTTGCCCCAAAGGTTTTTGCAATAGGCAGCTCTAGACCACATGCCTTGGGTGATATAATTTCTACCCTGTTATCAAGGTTCATATTTTAAGTGCCTTTTACTGGAAAATTATATCTTAAAAAATTGAAACAGATAAAGACAACAGCAACCACATCATAGCCAGAATCTTCTTTCTCTGTACTACTCTGGCTAAGCCTAAGGCACCACAAAAATGGGATCCCTTCTCCACTCCTATACAACCATGACACGTTCAACTACATGAGCTAAACCAGTAAGTTATAGGTCTTATTATTACGGTAAGCAACTCTTCTCAATGACAAGTCTTAATTTCTACACTTGAAGGACATGCATGAAGTTTTTAAAATAAGAATAAATTAGCAAGCTTTAACTTATCAATTGTTTGCTTCAAAACTCAATTTAACATTCAAAATACAGCCTTCGCAAATAAAAACATGTCTATTTTGGAATAAATAAGGTTCTATTTTTTTCTTCACTGTCATCTTACCTGTTTTTGAATTTGTTCTGGACTGCTAAGCATCAGGTGTACTATGTTGGCTTTAATAGCTATCCTGTCAGCTTCACATATTTTGTCTGGTTCATCTTCAATCTGCAAACATACAGTTGGTCAAGCTGGTATCATTAAACAAACATTTTTACAAGTGCTCTGGTTAAGCTGAAAGTATCTCAAGTACACAGCAATTTGTTTATTTATTTAAAATATTTTTAAAAGGACCCAAGAAGCCTACATCATTAAAAGGGCAATATTTAAAAGCTAAAAACAGTAGGTATACAAATATTTTAAAATAATTAAACAACTATCATATCAAAAAGCATCATATTGAACTAGTATCACATTAAAACAGTAAATAACATCAATACTAAAAAGAAATTTAAAACCAACAGAGCAACTTTGTACAGGTAATCACAAACAGCTCGAAAATATTTTGCTGGTATCAAAACTGTAACAATTGTTCTGAAAGTATTTGCAAGGCGCATAGGTCAAAAGGTCAACACATTTGTGCTACTTTACACTATGAATTTTATCTTGGTGTGAGGTGACAAGCCACCTCACCCAGGATCAGGAGAGTGTACCACCCGCCTCTCAAGTAAAGGAAGAAGCACAAGAGATAGGTGTGACAGAAAGGGAATTAAGTAAACTAGACACAGAAGAAGAGGCTAAGGGGGGTGCAAATTGGGCGAGAAAGGAAGAGGATAAGAAGGAGGGAGAAGGAGGGGAGGAGGCAGAAGCATGTTGGGGAAGAGAGGAAAAAGGAGAGCTGGTAGAGTTGATCCAAAAAGATCCTTAGACAGGAGAGTGGGTAGAGTTCAAGGTGCCTCATGAGTACGCCAAAAGAGAATGGAGATGACAAATGTATAGAAAGCCACCATACTAGGGGGAGACAGAGGAGGAAAAGCAAAGGAAGGAATATAGGATGTGGGTGAAGAGAGAAGAACAAAGAAGAGAAAGGCAAAAATGTATAGTGATTCCCGTTAAGTCCCGTGGGCCCAACCCAAACCCCAAGAGAAGAACAAAGGAGAGAAAGGCAAAAAGAAGTCCCATGGGCCCAACCCCTTTAAACCCCAACAGAGAAAGATACATGGCTTGACAAATGGGGGACTGCAGGGAACTACAATGCCCCATCTACAATCTTGGAGTGGGCTGAGAACACACCAGAGTTGATGGGTGCCATACCCAAATGGACCCAAGAAGTTAACAGTTATTCCTTGTTGTCTTACCATGAAGAGATACCCAGTTTTAATAATGTAAAGACTTATGATTTGTTGCTGAAGTTGGATGATAACAAGACCAAAAAAAATCAAAGAAGCCATATTAAACAATAAACCAGTTTTATTAGAAGAATTGGTGTGACAAATTCTTCTTTGGACTAAGTAGAGAAAAGGGATAAACAATAAACCAGTTTTATTAGAAGAATTAGGTGTAACAAATTCTTCTTTGGACAAAGTAGAGAAAAGGGAGGTAGATGACAAGCGGCACGATCACACTTGGTCAGATACAAAGTTGGTGTGTAACCTCAGATCAATTAACCTATTGTAGTCTCTTTAATCTCTAAGACAAAAGGGGGGAACAGTTTATATGACCCTTCGGGTCTTTCGAGGAAGAACAGGATAAAAATCAGATTGTAGATAGAAGGTTGCTATCAAAGCTACATCACAGCAGTCTGTTGTAGGCATCAGGCTAGAGGAATGGAATTTGCTGACAAAACAGAAAGCATTGCACTTGCTGCTCTAACCCTGCCCTTTCTGAGGTCGCTACCGCAGCTAGAGATGTAACAATATTATACTGTACTGAAGAGCAGCAGTAAAGTTGCTTATTCGTCAACCTTAGCTGTTAATGTCGAGGTTTGAAAGGATCTATGAGAAACAAGCTGCTTTCCCAATTAATTATATAAGACCTATAAGCAGTAAAATGTTCTTCCAAATTCAAAGTTACAATTTAATAAACTATAGGAATGCATTTTCTACCATCACAGAACTCCGAGATCAAATATAACTATAAAAAATGGGAGGTCTGGACAAATTCCTGAAAATCCGTGTGTGGACACAACATTACTTGAGGTTCATGGTTTTAATTTCCTAAAATCATAGATTAATGCATGCACCTGGAAGGCTGGGACAAGATAGACTTTAAAGTGTCCAAATTTAAAGAACTAACTCTAATTACAATGATGTCCCCAAAATGCAAATCAGTGTTGCTCAGTAGCTGGGGTTCAACAAACTCAGTCATCTGTTCACCTGCAGTGACGTACTGTATAATCTACTGTGCCAAACCTCCTCCTAAAGTCCTTTCTCCAATATATCTTCTTGAAAGAAAGGAGGCTAATAACATTTCTTCCCCACAATACAACCTTTGAAAGAGACCATCAGGAATATCCTGCTTAAAAAAATCTGGTATAAAGACCTTATATCAAATTCTCTGCATATCACAAGAACATGGGAACAGGATTAGTCAATGGCCTCCACAAATACAGTAGCTTATCAGAAAAGCAAGAGAAAATATGTGAAGCGAACCACACAAGCTTCTCACCTTCCACTGAACTAAAATATGCTCTGAGGATCTAGCGGAAGACCTATGGTAACTATTTATCTGGAATCTTTTGCTTGTCACAGAAAATGCTCTGTTATATTATAATCTTTCTCTATATCCAATTCCCTATATCCAATTCTGTGACTGCATAAATAATCTCTTAATTTTATGAAAGTACATCTTACGTTTTGGTCAGTACTTTACCATGTTTCCACAACATATCAGCCTATACCCATTTCTATGACTTTATCAATAACTTTTTATTCTATGAAAAAATGTCCTGTATACTAGTCAATTCTTGTCAACAAAATACCTACAATTCTCCAGTTCCTTTTAATGTAGTTCTTGAATGTGACAGAGGCACAGACTTTGATGACATTGTCTTGTGATTTCTCCAAAAGGGTTAAGAGTAGTAGTGGGTAATTCTGACTTCCTTCAACAGACTCAAGGAACTTTTCCGCTGTAAAACAATTGGCTGAATTTAGCAAAACGTTGAACTGTCCACAACCTTAACTCCTAAAATGTAACATAATTTGTCACAAAAGCAAGCATATAATGGATACACAACAGGAACTAAAATCAATATTCTTATATAGTAAAATTTCAGCCAAACCAGTATATACTACATAGCACTACTCTCATGCACACTAAGAGCATGTACAATAATACCCTGGAAACACAGCCTAATATAACAAGCCATACCAAGTGTCTTTTTCATAGGTGGGATATAAATAAAATGAATGCATGATCAATTGGAAAAAACTTTTTAGAGCCAATATAATTAAATAATAAAAACACATGAAGGCCTAGAAGCACTGAACAGTTTCTGTAATAGTTTAGAATAAACCATGCACTGAAAACTACTACATATTTAAAGTATTTACCAGGACGCCTTATGGCAGGATCAGGATCTAGCGTCTTCTTTAAGTATTCTGTTAAAGTTTGCAAATTGGCATCACTTAGCTCCATAACTGCAGAACCTACAAATAAAAATTTGAGTACATTTAAAATATTATACATTAAAAATAGTTCAGAGACTAATTGTATATGTCATAAAGTATACACACTGTGTAATGCATTTACATTTTTCAGACACGCCAGTATTAAAAATCCATTTGTTATTTCAGAAGACACAATATATTACACCCACACAAACTATATAAAGCATGATCCCACACTTCTACAAACAAGAAATTCACCTTAAATAAGTATATTTAAAAGATATATCTGAAGTTTTACTTTTATCTTCTGTATCCTTTATACAGGGCCTGGCATGTTCTGGTCCATGAGGTCACGAAGAGTCGGACACGACTTGACGACTAAACAACAACAATCCTTCATAGCCTAACCTTTTGCAATACTTGAATGACTAATGTACAATTTCACCTTTGAAAACAAGTCAGTCATTGTACATATGCAAATAAGAAAATAAGAGAAGCTTTATACACCAATATTAGATAGCATATCATTGACCAAACAAGCTACCTCAAGCACATCTATTGCTCCAATCTCCAATACACAACTACCTCACAAAAGACCTGGAAAGACTGTATCAATTTGCTAGTAAGTCAGATGCCCCAAGATATCAGATTTCAAGGATGCCTCAGCTCTGTCTACTGTATGCATCCATGCTGTGTCTATACAAAAAACCATGATTAGAGAGTAGGCTATCAATAGTCCTCATTCCTAATGACTGTGTAACCTCTAGTATGAGAAGAGGTATACTGTACCTCCAAACATCACTTGCTGAGAACAAGTAGGAGAATGCTCTTACATGTAGAATGTAGTTTGCCACTATGGGAATAGAATGTAGCATTATATACATAATCTTGCTCTCCCTCTACCATTGATCTTTCATCTCTCATGCTTTCACTAGTCTATTAAAGGGTAGTCCTTAGACAACTTGTTTGCTTCTGAAACAAAACACTAAAGAAATCCACACAATAAGGAAATAAAGGCACAATTTTTTAGCAAACAGATATATATGACATGGCTGCCAGATGGGCAGTATATGAATAAAATTATTATTACTATTATTACTATTATTACTATTACTTACTATTACTATTACTATTATTATTATTATTTAACAACAAGTTTTCTGTTAAGAAAACTGCAATGAAGGTAACAGACATTAGCAGAGGAAACCAGCATTACTGAAAATTTAATACTGGGGGGGGGGGGGGGAAAATGCT